AAAAAAAAAAAAAAAAAAAAAAAAAAAAAAAAAAAAAACACACGTGGACAACTTCGGGAAAAAAAATGCACGCCGGGCAGGGCTAGGCACAAAACAATTGCAAACAAAAAAAAAAAAAAAAAAAATGCCAGGCGAGGCACATTTATAATTAGAAAAAGGAAGAGCCCAACTTGGCGTACCTCGAGGCGTAGTGGGTATCATAAAAACGCAGCGTCCGTAGCCGCTGGAACCCTACATCCTTGTAAACCTTCTCCGACTGCCAATTGGGGGAATACAACTGAGAGCTGCTACTACCGCATGGCCACCTAACACCACAACGATGGGAAAATTCTTGTTTTTGTAAAAAGGTAAATGTGGTCAAATCGTAATATTCATCTGTGCACACCCCCCTATGCATGTAGCGTTTTAGCGGTTTGCAGAAGTGAGAACTGGAGGAGGCTGTCTTCTGATCGACGACACTTTTTCCATTTCTTCGTGTCACCAGAGCCCAGTGCGCGGGGCATGGTTGGGACCAGTCCTGTTGGCAAGCGTTGATGCATGGCCAAGGAGCGAAACATTTATTTGAGAAGAGGTACTTATTGAAGGAGCTAAACGATCTCACTGCAAACGATTTGGAACACCCCTGGGGGGGGCTGTAATGGTATGGAGCTATGCAGTTGTTCTCCTTGAGGAGCCAGTTGTATGGACACGTCTGGTGGTAATCTTGCACGCACTTTTCCAGGCAGGGCCAAATGATTCTGCATTTCCGTTCTATTTGTTTTTTTATCTCAACGCTATTGTACACTTCAATCACAAGACACGCGTTTGTCCAGTTATCCTCTACCTGGCCAACTTCTACATGGGCAGCATGTACACGGCCAGCTTCTATATGGGCATCTTCTACGCGACTGGGGGCCCAGCTCCGATTCACGCAGACATGAATGGTCCCCCCGCCAACGGCGTCCAAGCGTTCGTTTATCAGCTCATACCCAACGGGGCACACCGCCCCGTAGTTCTTCTCGCAGGGAGAAAAGCACGGCCAGTCGGACCTACATAACAGACTCCAGTTACGTCTAATAAGTGGAGTGGCATACTTAAAATTGACATTGGTTCCACATATCTCTTTCAAGTGTGGTGGGTAATCTGCGGGAGCTTCACACCACTCGTCATTCGTTTCAGTCCACCCGAGGGGACAAGACACTTGCACGTAATCCCGTTCGCAGTCCTTGCAAGGGAATTCCAGTCCACATTTCTTCTCGAGCTTCTTTATTTTTTCTTCATCGAATGAGATGAAGGACATGTCATGAGCTACGTCGTACAAGCTTCTAGTCAAGTCGTTTAGGTTTATCATGGAGCTGCACTTGTGCACGTTAGTTCTATACCAACTCGGAGCCATGCATTGCTTAGCACTTAATTTAGTCCACCCCACAGGGCACTCGGAGTAATTTTTTTCAAGGCACATGTGCTCATAGTATGACTGGTCTGCTTTGTCGAGTTGATAATTCTTATACAAGTTTTTCATTTCGCTTAAATGCTGTATTTCTGCTCTGAGTGGGGCATCTGAACCATGCGGAGGGGACTCTTCATAGGTGTCGTTCTGCCCTAGCTGTGTTTCGGCCGTCTCCACAATTGAAGATGCCATGTCGAGTTGTTTGTGAGAAGCCTTTGTAGACCTGCTAGAGTGTGGCTGCTTTGACCTGACCTGGAGAAAGGAAAATGCATTTGCCCCCCTGGGGGAGTACCCCCTCCTCAACATCTGCACAACCTCATCAATGCTCCTCCGTAACTCATGATCCGTGGATGCCTGCTTAAGAAGAAGAAGCTCCGTGATCTTCTTATCGCTTAGGATAAATTCGTGGGGAGGGTCTTCATTGCTCCGTTCAGTTAGAGGTAGTAAGGCCCCGCCGCTTCTACGCATTAACGATTCATCATGGTTGGGCAGAAACTGCCTATTCGTTGCAGAGCTACGATCGCCTCTATGATAATTGGACGTGGCGGACCCTATGGGACCATCCCTGAGCCAAGGTGCATGTGCAAGGAGAATATTGCTACTGTTCACGTCTCTGTTGAGGCCAAATATTTTTTTTCCCTTTTTGTATTTGCGCCCCATTTGGAATGTGGCCTCGTTGACAAAAGGGGCTTTACATCGGGCGGCCCAGGCAGCCTTCATTTCGTGAGTGTAACCTTTGAAGGAGGAAATGTTGTTACACGGTTCAGTGTACTCCACAGGAGCTGCGCAAATGTGTTCTACTGCATCTACTAGAACCCAATTATAAGGACAAGCCAACTCGAAATTCTGATACCGGTCAAATGTAGAGGGCCACATAAAGTCACACCTCCGGGACAGTTCATACTTTTCTTCCTTGCTCATATGTTCAAAGGATATGTTTTTTATTTCTTCACTCTGGGTACAGGGACCGTTGTACGAATTGGGGGGAGAACAGGTAGTCCCTCCTCCCTTATTATGCGATGTGTGAATTCTCCACCCCAAAGGACACACAAAATCGTTTCCCTTGCTCTCCTCCTCACTCCCTCTAACGGGCCATTCAACATTACACTTGTTCATTAAAAACCTTTTCTCCTCCTCCTTCAGATTGTACAAATATAATATAGAACCACACGGTCCCACATAAGAGCTATTCGCAGAGCAGTGTTTATTATCCGGAGTGGGCATCCAGTTGTGCGGACAGAGCTCATCAAAATTGTAATTTTTTTTTTTGCAAGGCCACCTGATATCACACGCATCTGCCCATGCCTTTTTTTCTTCTCTTGAAAAATTTGTAAAAATTTTTTTCCTCACACATTTGCCAATGTAAGATTTAGGAGCGTGACAAATCTTTCCTTCAAGGGTCCAACCTTCAGGACATTCCTCCAACAGATCTTCTTCACCACATCTGTGTAAGCATGGCCATGACACATCACACTTGATACAAAATTTGTATTTCTCTGTAGGAGTGGAATTCACAAACGAGACCATTTTATTTTTACACGGTCCGTGGTACGTAACAGGACTTATGCAGTTGTCTCCATTTCCCCAATCACCCCATCCTGCGGGGCACAACTCAGCGTAATTAATTTCGCATGCTTCTTCATCCGGGTTAGGCAGGTCCAGACTCTCCGCTGCTTTGGTCACTTGGGTCTTCACCTTTTCCCTCAGAGCTGCAGGGCGGGGGGAGGAAGAAGCGGGTGACGTCGGCGTGTTCGTTACCTTGTCATGATATAAAATAAAATGTTCAGACGGGACGACGCCACGGAGGAGCACCCCACGTGGACAAACCTGCCGCGGGAACGCTCTTCAAGAAACGCGAAAGAGGCTCAAGCAGCTCCCTGCTAAAGCGAGACAGGTCATCAAACTGGCCCGTTTCACCTCCCACGTTTAGCTCCCCCACAAGTGTGCCTTCCCCTGTCCTTGTAGCATCTCCAAATGGAGGGAAGACGCTCGGGGGGCGTGCGCCCAGCACTGCGAGAAGTAACACGGTGGTGAACAGCTTGCAGGGGGCCATTTCGGAGGGGCGAGGGGCGAACAATACTAACACAAAAAGGTTGTCACGGGTTTAGCGGCGTTAACGAATGGACGCTATATGCACTTGAGGCCGCGCTCATATAACTTGGCAGTTGTAGAAACTTCTACGCGCTGCTGGGAACAACACATGAAGGTCCACCAGGATATATGGCCCCTTTTAAGAGACAGAACAAAAAAAATGAAAATTGGTGGACGTGCTTGGAACGGAGAACTGCCCTTACCGGGTGATGGCCAAAGGTGTTCTATTCGTATCGTTTAGTGGATGAGGGGATGCCAATCGACCTGCTCCCCATTCTGCTAGACAAGCGCGGGATACCCCAGCAGAGCTGTAACTACACCGCGTGGAGGAATTTTTTTTTTTTTTTTTCCCCCTATCACAAATCATTACGCAGTTTCATGCAAATGTGCACGCGCGGGTATGTTACACTGTGGAAAAAAAAAAAAAAAAAAAAAAAAAGACACTTTTGTATATATCCTGATGGAAGCGAGTTTGGAGAGTTTTTCCCCGCATGTAAAACGATGGGTAATTCTTCCAAGTGGTTGCAACTTAGAACAAACTGAAACGAACTGTGGAGGTAAAATGTTTCATGAGATCCTCCACTCAAAAAAGAAGTGTTGCGATAACCTCACGGAGGCGGGGGGGCCCACACCCCTCTTGGACCATTGATCTGCTCGTAGGAATCATTCGAGCGTTTTCCAAATGGGGGCCACTGTTGAGATCTTATCGTCAGTTTAGATATGAGACGAACCGTTTAAGCTTTCCGGGGTTATGGCAGCAACTGTGCCACGGTGGGTGTATTCCTTTGTGTATATTTTATCCATTTTGGGGTGTTTTTCTTTTTTTTCCATCCCAGTTATCCTTCAACGGAACGTTGTTCAAAACAACGGAGGTGACTCCACACCCACACAAGGATAGAGAGATCAGCCGGGTGTGAGTACCGCATGGGAATTCTCCATTTCCTTTTTCTAGCCTCCGCATTTCCACACAGCCATCACATCCACATGACACGTTCATGTGAACTAACCATTTTGACCATTTCAACCAAAGCGGAAAAAACTGCTTCACTTTTTTTTTTTTTTTGCAGCTAATAAAAAGCAGGGCACGCGATGGCGTTTTGTGCGTGTATAAAATATATGTAGGCCATTCGAACAGTCGACGCGAATGAAGGGTGGTGCATCTTTGTGATAAAGAACGTGATGGCGTGTTCTTCCTCCGTTGGTCACGCCCCCCCTTTACATTTTGTAAAATTTCCTGCACAAGAACTGCCTCTCCACATCGCCTATTCGTTCCTCCCAAGGTTGCCGTACATTTCCGTCGGCTCGTTGGATTCAAAAACGTGCATACATATGTGAGAAAATATTATATTAGTTGTACCATAATGCTTTCCCTGTGAACACTTTTTTTTTTTTTTTTTTTTTTTTTTTTTGTTTACAAACACAATTTGGCTTCCTCCCTTGGAGAAGAAAAATATTTTTCTCTCACCCCCGCGATTGTGGCCTTCTTTGGGCAACCTCTGGGTTAGCCTGCTCTAATTTTTTCTAAGCAACCTTTTCTTTTCTTGTACGCCTATAATAAATCTGCATGTATGTATGTTATATATGTATGAATTCCCCCCCGTCCCCCCACGCAGCTGTTTTTGCGTGAATATTGAGAGGATGCAAAAAGGGGGGCAGGGAAATTTACAAGAACATGATCCCTGTACTTAGAACGAGCATGGGGTGTCACGTCTCTAAAGGGAGCCATCTTCGTATTACATACCTCTGCGGGTGAACACTTGTAGAAGCCCCACGAGAAGTAGCTGCTTGGACTCGTGTCACCACACCATTATGTGCGGACGGCTGCTATTGAGAGAGAGAGAGCACACGTGCGCAAAAAAAAAAAAGGGGGTGAACCCTACATGTTATCCCTTTACCTGCTCACCAAACCGTGATGCGCTTGTAAAAAAAGAAAGTCATATCACACCCATGAGACGTTCACAAGAGAGACATTCCCCCTCTTGCAGAAACGACTTCATAGTGTTGAAGCTTACGTTTGTTCCCTCCAGTTGGGGTTAAAATTTGCACAGAGGGCCCCATGAATTGGAGCGCAGGCCGTTTGGTAAATTTGCCCCGCTCATCGCGTGTGTCACCCTCACCGCGTGCATCACCCTCACCGCGTTTACCACCCTCACCGCGTGTACCACGCTTAGCACGTTTGCCCCTTTTTTTTTTTTTCCGTTGTTGCCACCATGCCGGTGCTGTACCACCTGACGCTGCAAAAGCCCACAGCCATCACCAAAATCGCATATGGGAATTTTTCCGGGCCAAAGGTGCACGAAATCGTGGTGTCCAAGGGGCAAGTGTTGGAGCTGCTAAGGGCGGACAAGCAGGGGAAGCTAAACCTCATTGCGTCTAAGGACGTCTTCGGAATCATACGTTGCTTGCAGACGTTCAGGCTGACGGGGAGCAACAAGGACTATATTGTTATTGGAAGTGACTCAGGGAGGTTAGTGATTCTTCAATTTAATAATGAAAAAAATGATTTCGTTCGAGTACATTGTGAAACGTATGGCAAGAGTGGGCTTCGCAGGATCATCCCAGGAGAATACATAGCAGTGGATCCAAAGGGAAGAGCTCTCATGATATGTGCGATTGAGCGACAAAAATTTGTGTATATTTTAAATCGAGATAGTAAAGAACAGCTAACCATTAGTAGTCCATTAGATGCACATAAATCACACACGATATGTCATGACGTGGTCGGAATGGACGTAGGATTTGAGAACCCAATGTTTGCATCTATTGAACACAATTATGAACTGTATGACAAGCAAATGACAAACACAAGTGAGATAGATGCATGTCCAAGGAAAACTCTTTTATGTTTGTGGGAAATGGACCTAGGATTAAATCATGTGATTAGAAAACATACTCTACCCCTTGATTCGAGTGCACATTTATTAATACCCATTCCAGGAGGACAACAAGGACCAAGTGGAGTCATTGTCTGTTGTGATAATTATTTAGTTTATAAAAAGGTGGAGCATGCGGATGTGTATTGTGCTTATCCTAGGAGACTTGAAACAGGACAGGACAAAAATATTTCCATTGTATGTAGCGCAGTTCATAGGATTCGAAAATTTTTTTTTATCCTGATTCAATCTGAGTTTGGGGATTTGTACAAAGTAGAAATGGAACATGAGGATGGAATTGTAAAAGAAATTACTTGTAAATATTTTGACACTGTCCCAGTAGCCAATGCCATATGTGTGATGAAGTCAGGATCTCTTTTCGTGGCAGCAGAATTTGGTAATCATTTTTTTTATCAATTCTCAGGAATAGGTGATGATGATCATGAGGCCATGTGTACTTCAAAACACCCCTCAGGGAAAAATGCTATTATTGCCTTTAGGACGAAGAAACTTACAAATTTATTTCTTATAGACCAAGTGTATTCTCTTTCTCCCATTGTGGATATGAAAATACTGGACGCGAAAAATGCCAACAGTCCTCAGATTTATGCTCTTTGTGGTAGGGGACCCAGATCATCCCTTCGTATTTTACAACACGGATTGAGCATAGAAGAACTAGCAGATAATGAACTTCCTGGAAGACCCAAATTCATATGGACCATTAAAAAAGATAATGCCAGTGAATATGATGGCTATATTATTGTTAGTTTTGAAGGAAGTACACTTGTATTAGAAATTGGAGAAACGGTAGAGGAGGTCGTGGACAGTTTACTTTTAACAAATGTAACGACCATTCATGTGAATATACTTTACGACAATTCCCTCATTCAAGTACACGATACAGGGATAAGGCATATAAATGGAAAGGTCATAAATGAGTGGGTACCTCCAAAGAATAAACAAATAAAAGCAGCCACTTCGAATAGTACGCAAATTGTAATCTCGCTCAGTGGAGGAGAGTTGATCTACTTTGAGATTGATGAAGCGCATACTCTTGTGGAAATATTTCGAAAAAATTTGAACGTGGAAACGTTATGTCTGTCCATACAGCAGGTCGAGGAGAACAAGCTCAGAGCAAACTTTTTAGCAGTTGGCTGCTTGGACAATGTGGTGAGGCTACTCTCCATTGAGAAGGAAAAATATTTTAACCAATTGTCTACCTTCATTTTACCTAATAACTCATCAGCACAAGACATTTGCATATCTGAAATGTGTGAACTGGGCAACGACAAAGAGAGAAAATTGATCTTCCTTAATATCGGACTTAATAATGGAGTTCTTCTACGAAGTGTAGTGGATCCCATTACAGGAACGCTTACCAATCATTACTCAAAATATTTGGGGGCAAAAAATGTTAAAATATGTCCCGTTCATGTAAATAAAAATCCAGCTCTCCTAGTGTTATGCGAAAAGACTTACTTGTGTTATGTTCACCAGGGAAAACATGTGTACTCTCCTTTAAACTATGACATCCTGGAGTACGCATCCTGTTTTCATTCCGAGCAGTGCTCAGATGGGTACGTGGCAATTTCAGGAAGTAGTTTACGTATCTTCCGCTTCTACCGCTTAGGGGAAGTGTTCAGTCAAAACATTTTACACTTAACATTCACTCCGAGGAAAATCGTTCCCCTTCCCTTCCCTTCCCTCTTTTACGACCACGACACGTCAGTTGAAATTGAGAGACAAAAGAATATACGTATGCTCGCCATTATTGAAGCTGATCATAATGCGTATGATGAGAATACACTGCACGAAATTCAAAGGGCACTAAAGGGTATCCAGCTTGAAGGGGAAGAGCAGACAGGTGCGAACGGATCATACCACCCCGTTGGGAACGGCCTGCACGGGAACCTCCACAATAGGGCCCACAGTGAGGGCGATTCGGTAAAGCAGCACATGGATGACGTGGATGACGTGGACGAAGCGGAAAATGCCTCGAGCCACCAACAGAGGGAAAAGCACGGCGCAGGAGAAGAGGAAGGGGAAGGGGAAGGACAAGAGGACGAGGAAGAAGAAGAACTACTGTACGATCGAATAGGAACTGTTAAGGCAGGCCCGGGTAAATGGGGCTCCTGCATAAAAATAATCCACCCAGTCACTTTACAAACCATAGATAAAATTTCCCTCGAGATGGAAGAAGCGGCCTTAAGTGTTTGTGCATGTGAGTTGGAGGCTCTCCATTGTTTAATCGTTGGCACCACCACTAACCTGTCACTAAAAAACCGCACTCCTCCAGCAGCAGCTCTGCGTGTGTACACGTATGACATTAATTACAAACTGAACCTCCTGCACATAACACCAGTAGAAGACCAGCCATTCTGTTTTTGTCCCTTCAACGGAAGACTCCTAGCTGCCATTGGAAACAAACTCAGAATATATGCACTGGGAAAAAAAAAGTTACTAAAAAAATGCGAATACAAGGATATCCCTGAGGCCATTATCTCCATTAAGGTTTCCGGTGACCGTATCTTCGCCTCCGACATACGAGAGTCTGTCTTAATATTTTTTTACGACTCCAATATGAACGCGTTCAGGTTAATTTCAGATGATATAATTCCCAGGTGGATCACGTGCTCTGAGTTACTGGACCACCACACCATTATGGCGGCAGACAAGTTCGACTCGGTCTTTGTGCTCCGGGTGAGTGGGCGCGACGGAGCGTCACTACGAGTAACTACGCGCGAGTGCACGTGAGATGTCCCCAACGAGTGTTCCCCCTTTTCCCCCCCATGTTGTGTCCCACCCGCAGGTGCCCGAGGAGGCCAAGCAGGAGGAGTACGGCATTTCGAACAAGTGCTGGTACGGAGGCGAAATGATGGCCGGCTCGAACAAGAACAGGCGGGTAAGTCCAGCGTGCGCAATCGCACCGGGGAGCGCCTTATCCTCCCCCCCAACGGACAAGGCAAGCACCCCCACGCGCGTGCACTTGTCACGCTTGTCGCGCGTGTCACGCATATCCCTTTTCCCACTTGTCCTGCCCCGCAGCTGGAACACATCATGAGCTTCCACGTCGGAGAAATAGTAACGTCCCTGCAGAAGGTGAAGCTGTCCCCCACGAGCAGCGAGTGCATAATATATTCCACCATCATGGGGACGATAGGGGCGTTCATCCCGTACGACAACAAGGAGGAGGTACGCAGGTGGAGGGCTCGTCACAGAGCGGTGTGCCGTTCGCGGTGTCACCTTGGCGGTGGCCGCGTTTGTTGCTGCCTCTTGGCTTTTTTTTTTTTTTTCATCTGCTGACACATTGCCTCCCCCTTTTCGCAGCTGGAGCTGACTCAGCACCTGGAAATCATTTTGAGGACGGAGAACCCCCCGCTGTGTGGACGGGAGCACATATTTTTTCGTTCCTACTATCACCCCGTCCAGGTAAGGCCCCATGGCAGCACTCCCGTTGGAGAAAGCCCGCCCCATTTGCGACGTCCACGACGTTGCTGTTTTGGTACCACATTACATACACACACATTCCACCGTTACACCTTGCCCAACCCTACAGCACGTCATTGACGGAGACCTGTGCGAGCAGTTTTCCAGCCTGCCATACGACGTTCAGAGGAAAGTAGCTTCCGATTTGGAGAGGACCCCGGATGACATTCTGCGAAAGTTGGAAGACATTCGGAATAAAATTCTTTAATCGTTTTTTTTTTTTTTTTTTTCCTTTTTTACCTCCCTTGTCGCTCAGGGGTACGCCTATATGTACATATATGTGCATATATGTGCATGTGTATGCATTTATATATGTGTCTTTATGTATGTCGTTATGTGTGTAGCTGCTTTGGGGCGAACCCCGTTTGTAACAACTGTCATTCGGCACTTGAGCGTGTGGGCTGGCCCCATTTTAAAAGCTTCTTCTAACCCTCAACAGGGACACCCATCGCAGCGGCACAGCTTGTCGCAAAACAACAAAAAAAAAAGAGGTAACCGACCGTAGGAGGAGGCATACGTCAGCATACGACAACGTACACACAGGAATGCTGCACCTCGGTCAATGTCTCCTCAGAGGCGGCCGATCACCGTTAAGCGTGCACGGCATACACAGCATACCTCCACACTTTTCCACGCTTCTCATCACTGCCCCCTTTTCTTGACCAAGCGGGGAGACCAAACCGGTGAAAACAATTTGCAACGATCGGCGATTGCCCAGTGATAACTTCGCCAAAGGCACGTGGGGAAGGAAAAATGAAAGAAAAATTTCCTTCTCAATAAAGAGGTGACAGTTATACCGAAATGAGGACGCACAAGGGAAAAATCTCCTGTACAAAATGGCGAACCATTTTAAAAGCGTCAAATGGGGAGAGGGTTGTTCTTTTTAACCTTTTCAATGTGCAGTCCAATTTTAACACTTTTTTTTTTTTTTTTTTTTTCCCCCTCCTTTCGGTGTAAAATATTTCGACATTTTCCTCTTTGGATATGAAACTCCATCTTTGTGTCATTTCACTTTTTTTGTACCACCCTTGAAAGATCAAACGTAAAAAGCATTTTTTCTGTGAAACTTACTTGGGTGCAAAGGAGCGGGGCCAAAAAAAAAGTGAGTTTAAAATGCTATGCCTCACCATGGGCAGGCGGGCACTGCTTCGGGGATGCATCTCTTCTGAGGGGGGAAAAAAAAAAAAAAAAAAGTGAACAAAAGAAGTGAATAAGCGAATAAGCGAAGCGCAACGGAAAATTTATTTTTCAGCAACTGTTTTATTCCTTACAAGTAAAAAGTTTTGCCCATCTGAAGAAAACAGTTACGTCCTCGCGAGTAAAACTGCAAGCATAACCCGCGATCAGACCATTTTTCCCATCGCTCATTTTAACAAAAGGAAATTTAACTGTGGGCGCGTTTCACCACACTAGCAATCCTCACGTTACTCACCTTTTTTGCGCAACACAAGGAAGGACGAATCCCCAGGGACAGCCCCCTTCCCCCCTCTCACCTTTTCACTTAACATTGGAAAAATGGGACGTTCATCCAAGGGCCGCTCGGGTGGTTTAAGTGAGCATGAAAAAAAGATTGGGAAAAGGGGGACACAAAATTAGAAAAAAAAAAAAACATGCATGTAAACGTGTACGGTATACATATTTACACTCACAGAAGTCGTGTGGTCAGCCCGTGGAGGGATCCATGGCAAAAGATACACTCACGGGGGTGAGCTGTGCCATCATATATGAACGCGATTAATATTTACCTTCCTTTATCCCCAACTCGCAGGCACAAGGTCTTCGTTCCTTAAACAGAACCCGTCCAGTGGAGTCAGCAGAGGAAACAGCACGAGCGCTCAAAGCTACTCTGGAGGTGCCCTGCAACCCCAGCAGAAGTCTGGTGGCTTCATCTCCAACATGATGGGAACAGTGGCCAGCGGAATGGCCTCCGGGGTCGGATTTGGAGTAGCCCAGAGAGCCGTCGATGCCATATTGGGCCCAAGGCACGTAGAAGTTTCGCACCCAAATAACAATGCGAACATGAACCAGGCAGCAGCTGTGAACAGCGAGAGGAACAACAACTACAGATGCAAGCCCCTGCAGGACGAGCTCAACCAGGTGCGACATATAAAAAGAGAGAGAGAGATGTGATTTCTTTTTTTTTTTGTTATTCTGCTCCCCTATGACTGGGTCCCCAGGGGTAGTATGAAATGACCCCTTTTCGTATCTCTATGTGTAGACCCTTTTCCGTACACATTTTCACCCCTCCTCATCCCCTTCTTCCTCCATGCAGTGTCTAACGAGGCACTCCGATATCAGCCTCTGCCAGAACTACGCCGACTCACTGAAGTCATGTCAACAGTCCATGTGAGTAGAGGACGCCTAGGTCGTAGGAGGCGCCTGAAATTCAAGTGGAATGTGCGTCGACGGGGGAGGAGAAAGAAGTGTGTACCTTCATACCTCGTCCGTCGTTGCTGATACAAACCATGAAACGCGAAAAAACAAATGTATGCGTTACGTATTTGCATACTATTGTACGTATGCACGGATGTACACATGTATTTGTGAGCCCATGGGGATGTCCGCTGCCGCGCCCCCACGAGTGATGGCCCTCACAGCCACCTCCCAGCGACCCACCATTTACCCCAATGAGGGAAGAAGCTTTTGCCTTACTATGTTTAAAAACACGCAAAAGGAAAAAAAAACTTGTAGCAATTGAGGGAATTCCTCCATTTTAATACTTTTTTTTTTTTTTTATATTGTTCCTAAAAGACCCATATTTCTGCTCTGAGAAGGGGAGATGAAATTTTAAAGGGAAAAATAAGTGCGGGTTTTAATGGGCGGCTCTTGTAAGCAGGGGGGAAAGGTGCTCGCGCAGGGAAAAGCAAATGATTCGAAACCGCAACAGCGATGCGGAGATTCCTCTTTCCTCCTTTTCGCAGCGAGAGGAAGGGAAGTGGTCTCGGGTACACCTTGCAGTACCGATGAAATACACGGGACAGCACTATGTTAGTCCAAAAAAGAAAAAACAAAAAAAAATGTTTACCTCTACGATGGAGAAGCCCCCCTTGTGATGCCACTTTTGAGCTTTCCTTTCCTCATTGTATCGCCCTCTATATGAATGAAATCCGTTGCCATTGCAAACGTTTGCGTTTCTAATCCACCGCTACAATCCCAATTGTAAACTCTCCCTTAGGGGATGTATTAACACCCCCCACCCGTTTGTGCTACTACTCCTCCCCTCTATTGTTCCACCCCATTTTAAGAAATTAAAAAAAAAAAAAAAAAAAAAAAATGGACAACCTGTATCATAGCTACTTTGGGCAAGGCGAGCGGAATTTCAAATTTTCCTCGTCTAAACTGACCAACTTGGTAAACAAAGAAAAGACAATAAAGATAAGTCCCCAGAAAGGCTTCGTCATAAAGGCATACGAAAAGGATGGGGGGAAGGTTTACTTCAACATTCTGTCGTCCAACTTGATTGCCGAATTTCATTTTAAAAAAATGCCCGACTTAAATGATAACGAGGGATTAAGAATCCCACTGAGCATTGGTGAAGAGAAACAGAGAGAAGATAAAAAGGGACAGAAATACAAGACGTACGACATTGTTCTTAACTCAAAAGTTGTTTCGCAATGCAAAAAAAATCTGCAATTAAAGAAAGTTATTGCCGAGTTGGTGCAGGTGGCCGTCAAAAATAAGTACAGCACGGATACCTGCGCAAACTTGTTTTTTTTCCCCGAGCATAAGTACAAAGGTGGGTATCCACACAAAAAAAAAAAAAGACAACATATAATAGCATATAGCATACCATAGCGTGGGAAAACACAACTATGGCCACCACATTGCACACACATGGATGCACATTTCGGATGTAATTCCTTCCCTACTCAGGGAGCAGCCCGGATGATCAGTTCATAAAGGACGACCAGCAACACAAGTTCAAAGTTGTGGAGGAAGCCAGCAATGAAGCAGGTGGCGCCAACTGTGACGGGGAGCAACTCAACAAAGAAGACATTCAAAATTTTTTATCCGTTAAGAAACCCGAATGGGACATGTGGTTTGTTGATAAGAAGACCTTTGAGGAGCGATATCAACGGATGGAAATGTTTTACCTTCCCTACCTGCGCACATCCCCACTGAGTGGCACCATCGATTGCTTTGACTTTAAACCCCCCTTCATGCGTTCGAACGGGAAGCAAAAAGAAAAATTTGGCAAAATTGAAAAAATTGAGAGGAAGGAAACAAAAAAAAACGCCATTTTCAAGTCCTTCTTGAACGAATACAACATCGAATTGGACGACGAATTTTTATGCTATCAGCAGGTGATCAATACGATATGCGTTATTCAGATTCAGCTGCCTTTCTTTATCCTCGCGCAACGTAATGACACCAGGGGGGAGCGTCGCCCCTTCTCCGTCCACGAGTTTATAAATCTCTACATCGCCGATGACCACCTGGCCGTCTTTTTTAAAAAGTAGGTGCTTGAGCACACGTGGGGAGGTAGCCCATGCGAAAGGAGCAGACAAGGCGAAGCCACAAAATGGGGAAAAAAAAAAATTACACATTTTAGCTTTTTCACCTGAACAAGTCAGATAAAATTGTCCATTTTTGCACACACGAAAGTTTGTAAATATGCAACATGCCCTTTCTCCCTTTTTTTTTCCTCCCCTCCCCATTTTAGATCGCCTCTCTTCCCAGCAGGACACAACCCCCCGTACAAAAATTTCAACATACGGTTTCCTTTCTATTTCGAATCGTCAAAAGCGATGTCGCAATATTTGGAAAGATATCACCTCCTAAATATCATCATTCCAGTTAGCACAAGTTCAGCTACGTGCAAATTTTTCAGCAGCAAAAACGTGAACAACGAAGACTGCTTAGTATCGGACGACGCAGAAACGAGTGACAGTTCTATATTTTGATTTGTGTTCACACCGTTTGGGGGTGGACGTGTGTGTGTACAGCCATTTGAGTTTTATCGCGAAATATAAAAATGGGGGGGGAGATATGCCATCTAAGTTGCGGTCCATTTATCAGCCAAAATTTTTTTTTTTTTTTTTTTATTAACTGTTCATACTTTTTTGGACATAGTTTAGCGCAGGCCACTTCACTGATGGCTATCTTTTCATCCATGACCCCCCGTCCCTCCCCCTCCACAATGGTGTGACTTGTTTTGTATATTTCCTGTGATCCATTCCGTGGATACGTTGGGTATTTTTCCCCATTTTAATAAACACAGCACGGAATGTGTGGATACCCAGAAAAAAAAAAAAAAATGATAGCATCAGGTTGTAGTTTGGGTTATCATTCAGAGGGAAAAATGTTCTTGTAATACGTATGTTTGTTTTTTTTTGTGGGTGACAGGGCTGCGCCGCATCCGTGTGCGACCGGAGGAAGAGACCCCTCTTCTCCTTTTTATTAACTTGTGCAGATCATGTCACATGAATCATTCAGGAAAAAAAAAAATAAAAAATAAATATTAAATAGTTGTGCGTCCTTGTACATACAGTTATGTACGTACATGTACACATGTACACAAGTACATACGCGTGTTGTACGCAAAAAGGATCGCTCATGGGGATAACCCCTATGGGAAAACTTGCTCCTCCAGGGAGCCTCCCTTCGTTGCTTTATTTTTTCCCTTCTTTGGTGACTTTCTCAATTTCGCTATCATACATGGGGTCGTTTTTATCCGTGGGTTTGCTCTCGCTCACGGTCAAGTCCGTCGTTGTGTTGCCTACTCGTATGGGTCGTGTGTTGAGAAAAAAAAAAAAAAAAAAAAAAGTGAATAAACGCGCAAGGACCGGGCGAGGTCCACAGTGCCCTTCCTGCTTGGGTACACTCACATATGTGCACGCTCATTAGTTAACCCCAGTTGAATTTCCCAGTCCCCTCGCGCACACTGAGGTCTCCGTACGCCTGGGTCTTTCCCGCGCTGTGTCTTTCAAGACGGATGTTCTTGTCCTTGGCTGAGTGTGCCATTTTGTGCATTCCGCGATGTCGGCCGTGGGAAGGATGCTATAAATAAGAGGAGTCAGAAGCCGCGATAGGACGATCCGCTACGTAGCATCCCCTCGTTAATGCGGTAGCTGCGTTCCGGGAACTTCACCTTGGCGGTAAACACAGCGCCCACAAATGTCCGCACGAATGAAGACGTATCTCTGCCTGCCTTCAACAAAGCGATTTCGTAAAAAGGTTTTTTTTTTTTTTTTTTTTTTTTTTTTTTTTTTTTTGTTGTTGTAATTTCAGGAATTAACCCTCTGTTTTTATAAGCAAAAGAAAAATATTCGTATGGTTTCTTTAAAAAGAAAAAAAAAAAAAATTACTGAGTGTGTTAAAGGTTATTCAACAATATGATAAAAATAATTTCACACGTGTGGTGACAAAAAAAAAAAAAAAATTACTTCGAGACTTTGCAGTTGGGGAATTGGTGGTTCTTTGCTTTTATTTTTATTTCGCAAGCGGATGCGTTTAAAAGAAAACGGGGAGGAATGCTTATCGACGCGTCTATATGCGTGGGAACATGTGCATGTACGTACATGGGCTCATGCCTCTATGGCTCGTGCATACGAACATCCAGCTGAGTACGCGTGTGGCCATATTCACCGCTTCCCCCGTTTAAGCGAGAACCATTTTTCAGTGCATGCGGATCATGCCGTTTTTCGTCCGACGGGGCGATGCGTATCTCTTCGCCACTACACCTTTTGAGGAGCTTAAAATGGAGGGGAATAAAAATAAGTAAACCGTGAAAGAAGACAGTAACGTGGCAATCGCCATGAATATGGGCATTTTTTTTTTTTTTTTTTTTTTAATTCTTTTCGATCGCAATGGTTGATCAATGGAAGAGTCGACTGCTGCGCGTGTCATGTTCGATTGCTGAGGTGGAAAATATAACATCTCAAATTGATAGCTCATTGTGACCGCTCACCGACAGGGGAATACACCTGAGATAGCCCCAATGGAATTTCACTCTGCTGACCCCCTATCTTATTCATTATAATGGGTATGGCCCCCTTCACTGAGTGAACAGCCACGAGACAGCAAAGTGGCCGACATGACGAACATGTCCGTCGAGCGCTTCTTTTATGTTTTACTCCATTTTAACAAAAAAAAAAAAAAAAAGGCAGCAAAGTGGCGTCCGTTTCCCTCTGCTTCGTTTTCACACAATGGGGGTAAATAAAAATTATCAAACAAAGTGGTAGCATCAAAGGGCAAACGCAAGGAAATGAAAGGAAATGAAAACGCAGACGTAAGGACAAATGCGAAGCGTAGCTGACACATTGGAGCAATCGGAACACCGATGCTTCTTGCGTGTGCGGGTTTCCACATAAAAAAAAATTTGTGCAAAAATTGAGGCAGAAAATTTCCACCATTCATGTGTGCAACCTTTTTTTCACCCAACCAATGGGGAGCATGACGTGGCGCCCCTAAAAACGAAAAAAAAGAAATGTCGTCACGTGAACAAACGAAGGAGAGGATTTGCGCTCGGGGAAACACACTACTTCTCCGCGGAGGACGCAATCAGGGGGGTCATCACCTGCAAAATGGGGATGGGTGGAGGCGATGAGGAGGGCGAAGTTAAGCAACGCCGTAATGTAGTCACTCCGGATCGCTTCACCCAATCGTGTCACCCAATCGCGAGAGCGAGGTGGCAGTCATGGTCTTTCCCTGCACAGGGGTATGCAACGGCTAACATGCAAACGGTTAACCGATTTGACGGGGTGCTTCTGCACCGTTGCGATGCTGCACTGTGCCAGACTGAACTTACCATGGTGATGGTCGAAATCAACTTGATGAGCACATGGATGGAGGGGCCCGCGGTGTCCTTGCAGGGGTCCCCCACCGTGTCGCCAATCACGCTGGCGACGTGCGCGGGGCTGTTCTTCCCGCCGTAAAAACCGGACTCGATGTACTTCTTTGCATTGTCCCACGCACCCCCGGCGTTGTTGAGGAAAAGGGCCATCAAAATACCCGTAGAGGTGGAGAACATAATGAATGAAGCAATGACTTGTGCCCCTAGCAAATCATTATTTCTGAATTTGCCAATTTGCTTAAAAAGCAACCCAATGATGATGGGTGCAAATAATGCTAGTAGCCCCGGCTTAATGGTCTCCATCAGTGCCTTCCTACTAATAATTGAAACGCAGGTGTGATAATCTGGCTTTTCATTATAGGTGAGAATTCCAGGGTGGTCATTAAATTGTCTGCGTACTTCTTTGAGAACTTCTTCGGCTGTATTTCCAACTGCATCTAAGGACCAGCTAGCGAAAAGGAACACTACAACGGATCCTAGAATCCCCCCAATGAATACTTCTGGCAAAGCAATATCTACAGTAGTAAAAGGTGTCTTCGCATGAAGAGAAACTTCACTAAGGAAAGCAGAAAAAAGTAAAAAACATGCCAGAGCAGCAGAACCAACACTGTACCCTTTTGTATTTGCCTTGGTTACATTTCCTACTGCATCTAATTTATCAGTTATGAATCGAACCCGCTCAGGCTGATTTGACATTTCCACAATTCCACCTGCATTGTCTGCTATGGGTCCAAAATTGGACATGCTTAAAATGAAAACTGCTGTGGAGAGCATTCCCATGGTAGCTACTGATGTGCCGTAGAGTCCATTTATCGCACGACCATCTCCAGTCAAGTTGCTTGCTAACCCTAGGTAGTAGGAAGCCAATAAGGATACGGAAATGACGATTGTAGGGAGGAAAGTAGATTCCATACCTACATACAGACCTGTTATTATGTTAGTAGCTGGACCACCTAAAGATGCATGAGCTATCTTTCTCACCTTGGGGTAGGAGTAATCGGTGTAGTATCTGGTCAAAATGACAAACAGGTATGAGCACACCATACCAACCAATCCACATAGGGATAGGTAAACCCATGAATAATCATTTGAGCAATCTTCCCCCAAAACAAATAACATTTTACAAAAAAAAAAAAAAACACCCATGGCTAGCACGCAAGTAACAATATAAGCTCTTAACATGACCTTTAATGGGTTCTCTAAATGTTCTTCTATCATGTCTAATTCATGATCATTGTAATGGTCCCCGCTGAGGGCCGACAAGGCTGTATCTCCATTTGCGCTACCTACGTTCAAATTTGCACCATTCTCCATTGTCCCACTGTAGGATGCACTACTAGGATGAGTGCACTGGCCCTGTCCCACGTATCCCTTACTATTCTCATGCTTCTTCATACCCACTGGGGTGGTTGTGTAATCGCTGCTGGTCCTAACAAGGTACACCCCAATGGTAGACACCAACAAATCCATCGAGTGTACAAATAAGGGGAAGAGAACAAAATAGCTAGCTCTTTTCTCAGAAATGATTCCATGTTCACATAAGGTTCCTCCTAAAATCATAGATGCAATAATTTCCGCCGATATGGATTCAAACAGATCTGCACACTGCCCTGCACAGTCCCCTACGTTGTCTCCAACCAAATCTGCAATCACTGCTGGGTTCCTTGCATCATCCTCTGGAATATGTTTTTCTACCTTGCCCACTAAGTCAGCACCTATATCAGCTGCTTTTGTATAAATGCCTCCAGCTAGCTGATACAGCATGGCCACTAACGAAGCTCCGAACCCATAACCAACAATGAGTAAGGGATATTTGGTAAAGGACAAGGAAGGATATAAAATATTTATTAACACTAATAAAGAGCAAATACCAAAGATAGCTAATGCCACATTCACAATGGCACTTATTGCTCCGCTCCTAAAACAGGTCATCAGCGCTGTCTTATACGAATAGGTCGAGGCTTTAGCCACACGGACATTTGCCCGCACAGCTACATAAATACCGTTGTAGGCAGCTAAAGAGCTGCATGCAGCTCCTAGTAAAAATGAAATGGACGTTATTATGCTATATGCAAACGGGGATATGATTATGTACTTCTGTGCAGCAGTAGTAGTACTACTACCCTCTACCACGTCGTTTTTTTCTCGGGGCAACTTTGTGTAATCTCCTCTCCAAATGTATAAGAAGAGTAGAAGTGTCGTACAAGCTAGAGATATTTTAAAAATGGAATTGTACTGCACTGCGAAAAATCCTTCTGCTCCCTCCTTTATCGGCTTTGCTATGTCTTCCAGGGAGAGCACTTCGTATCCATCGTGCGGCGCTTCCAGGGTACGCTCCACCGCGTCATGCAAAGTCGCGTCATGCGAAGCAGCGTCGTGGACCACCTCCACCTGCCCCTCCCGTCGTCTGTCCCCATTATTCGGTTGCACCCTTTCGCTCTTCTTATGTGGAGGCCCCATATGCTGCGCGCCCATGGAACGCATCTGGTGAATCGTCCCACCGTCGCCCCCCTGCACGCTGCTGTATGCCTCATACTCATCCTTCAACACGGAGCTCAACATGTGCAGGGCTAATAGGAGGAAAAAGGCACTATACAAAGATAGCCCCACTAAGCACACGATCTTCACATTATGAACAGTGTGATATGTTGCATACGTTGCTGAAGCAAATGCGATTAACACGCCTGCGTTAATCGCTACCCTTTGCTTGGGAGACCTATTTATATACCAGCTTAGACACCCCAAGGACGTTACATCATCTTCGTACTCTGCACATTGTACGTATTGAATTTCACCCATGGGGGGACTCCACCCTTGTGCATTAAGTACATAGGGCAGTTTTTCCCCCTTTTCTGCTTTAGTGACATCCACAACCTTTCCATTGTGCGAGATCCCCTTTGAATAGACTCCACCAAAGAAACTCATTACATTGAGGGGGTTCTTCCTCTTGCCGTTCCTGTGTAGGGGCAACATTTTTCGTCCTTCCCGTAGTGGGTCACATATACCTCGATGGATATATGGCTTGTCTTTTATGGGGTTATGTTACTTTTTTTGTGGCGGGGGGGTTTCTCCTCCCCTGCTGTGCGTTCTGCTTGTTGAGAAAGGACGTCTTTGGCACGACCCACGCTTAGTATAGCAGGGAAGACAGCTCGAGCAAGCAAAAAAGAAATGAATAAAAAAAAAAAAAGACTCAACTGTGTCCCACTTTTGTAGGTAAAAATATCAACGCGGAATCATTCCATCATACACAACACGGAAAAAAAAAGAACAAATTTTTTTTTCATTTTCTTTTTTTTTTTCCTTAGTGGGACCAAATAAGCTGCAACACGGTGGGTGTAAAAAAAAAAAAAATGCCTAACACAGAAAGACGGTCATCCGATATGCATGATGTAACCCCCCAGCGGAGGAGAATTACTAACACTTCCACGAAGTGGTAAAAAGGAAAATAACAATTGTGATGATGACATTGGCGATGAGGTGCACACGGAAAATAGGTCAAAAAAAAAAAAAAAAAAAATGGTTACCTTCACTGTGTTTCACTCAGTGTGCATTTTCAAAAAAAAAAAAAAAAAAAAAAAAAAA